AAGAGAGTAAACAAAATAGAGAGTAAACACAATAGAGAGTAAACACAATAGAGAGTAAACACAATAGAGAGTAAACACAATAGAAAGTAAACAAAATAGAGAGTAAACACAATAGAGAGTAAACAAAATAGAGAGTAAACACAATAGAGAGTATAAACAAAACAGAGAGTAAACACAGAGAGTAAACACAATAGAGAGTAAACAAAATAAGAGTAAACACAATAGAGAGTAAACACAATAGAGAGTAAACACAATAGAGAGTAAAGAAAATAGAGAGTAAACACAATAGAGAGTACACACAATAGAGAGTAAACACGATAGAGAGTAAACACAATAGAGAGTAAACACAATAGAAAGTAAACAAAATAGAGAGTAAACACAATAGAGAATACACAAACACTTCGGATGTATGCATAATCTAAGGTACAAATGATACTTTAACATATAATAAAGGAGGTACATATGCTAGACTGATAGGCTGATTGGTGTCTGTTTGTTATTTGTCTCAAGGACTGGGCAACAAAAAGTGGACAACAATGAGTTGAAAATATTTCAGTTTTTTTTTATTACAGTCTTACGGGGTAATCATCGTAACAAATTTCCAAGTTTTGGAAACCTTACTTAACAACGAGATTTTAAAACAATGCGCTGTGTGTGTGACAAGCAAACTGTTACAATATTTAACATATCCATACACAACACTGTCAGGCCACTGAACTGTTGTCTTCATACCTGTACATATAGAAGAAACTTTTCAAACGTGAATTCATTTTCCTTGACAAATATATTTAGTTTTTAGTTTGCCTGGTGGTTCTGATGTCGCATTACATACTTGGATTGACCAAGGTCTACATTACGTGTATCGTCGATGAAGCAGGAGACGCTCGCTCTTCTGGAACACTCGCTCTTGTTCTAATTGTACGCTATAGAAGTATCCGTGTGTATCTTTCTTTTGTTCATAGTTTCCCTAGTTTTATTGAATTTGAGTTAGGATTATGAATACGTTGACCTGTTGGTTTTTTCTGTTGATGCCGCACGTGTACCGAATAGATATAGATGTAGTAACATTCTGATTCCGGATAACTCAGATAAGAATAATGTATAAATATATTTATAGCTTTAGGGGAAACAAAAGGCAACATATGAACAAAAAGAAGGTTTACAAGGAGACTCTTGAAAAAGTACAAGGAGAAAAGACCAGGAGCGACTAGTGTCCTCTGCTATGGTGTCAACCTCCAGCAGTGCCGAAGATTGTAGCAATGCACTAGTCAATTACACATTTCTACGGAGGCATTTCCGGCCACGTTGTGTTTTATTTTATCTCGAAATTTCGAGATAGCAACTCGAAATTTCGACTTAGTAATCCGAAATTTTGAGTTAGTAAGTCGAACCCGAAATTTCGAGATAACAACTCGAAATTTCGACTTACTAATTCCATACAAATTTAGAATTAATTATAGTAGAGACAAATAATGAATAGAACAGCGTCTTACAGCTGTTTCGTTCTTCATCAGTGATGTTTAGGGCCTAAATTTTGAAACCCGAGAGGCGACTGGGGAATATCAATGTTGGTCGATAGAAAGCACTGTGATAATGGAAGCAAATACTTGATTATGGGTTCAACGAAAAGCACAATATGTTGGTAAGTACGAGATCTTACTGGAGATTTAAAATTATTATGTCTTCACTATAGCATGTTACCAGATACAATCACTAAAACAACCATAGGACATAACTTAGTTATCTTATTCGTCCCGACGATCTTCGGCAATGTTCGGCAATGTTCGATAACATATAATCCTAAAGAAAGAAAGTCTGGGCTTTATTCTAAAATACAAAAGCGAGAAATATAAGATTGGAGAAGGCCACATGTAAATGTGTCTTAGATAATACAACCAGGCTTACATTATTTCATCAATGCCATACAATAAGTAATCTAGTACCGTGAAAAGTATCCCAGAATTCCAATGATCTCTTCCGCTTACAATTTACAAAAAGCAAACGAAGAATGAATTCTACATGCACTTTTCTAACTCCAGTTAAACTGTATTGTCAGTCTCTGGAAATATGACAAATGGACAATTGATGATCAACATAAAGAGTGTAGCTTATTGCGTCACCTGTTACTGATCACGTGATGTCCAAATCACGCGCTCTGTTGTATTCTTGGGGACTTTGATCGTCTTAGGACACGTCTTAGGACAGGTTGACGACCAGACAATAATAGCGTGCTTAGTTTGTGACATCGTCAGACCACGTTCAATGAACTACTGTGCTTATATAATGAGATAAGACACCGAGGTCAGGACATAGATCTAGATGGCAATTTCTTTTTTATTATTATTATTTCATATGATACGTTTACCTATTAAGATACAGGGGAAGATTTTTATTCTTTCGAGCCTTTCTTATGCTACACAGGTTTTAAATCCTGTATATATTATTCATCGGTGTGTAATAGATATTTCTTCTGTGTACCGTACATGCTGATTTCCAGATTTCCAATTTTTCGCAAGCTGTTTTGAATACGTTTGAAAATGATGTTTTACATTGAAAATCCAAAGATCGTTTATATTTTATTTACATTTGTCACCATTTAGCTGGTTGTCCACTATTCTAGTTTTCCTACGTATATATCTTACAAGGATGTCTGAGGGTTGGATTTACTGATAGATTTGTGGAAGACTTTTGTAGCATTCCCTGTGAAGTGACAATAAAATGTCTGTTGCAGGATAAGATTTACCAAAGACACACAAATGGATAACACCTTCTAAAGCTGTACTCTATTAAACAAAGACACACAGATGGATAACACCTTCTAAAGCTGTACTCTATTAAACAAAGACACACAGATGGATAACACCTTCTAAAGCTGTACTCTATCAAACAAAGACACACAAATGGATAACACCTTCTAAAGCTGTACTCTATTAAACAAAGACACACAGATGGATAACACCTTCTAAAGCTGTACTCTATTAAACAAAGACACACAGATGGATAACACCTTCTAAAGCTGTACTCTATTAAACAAAGACACACACATGGATAACACCTTCTAAAGCTGTACTCTATTAAACAAAGACACACAGATGGATAACACCTTCTAAAGCTGTACTCTATCAAACAAAGACACACAGATGGATAACACCTTCTAAAGCTGTACTCTATCAAACAAAGACACACAGATGGATAACACCTTCTAAAGCTGTACTCTATTTTCTGGTGATGATGATTTTAGAAAGTAGATTGAAAGCTGAAAAATCAATATGTTTTCTCGGCTATTCTTGGTAAGTACACTGTACATGTATATATGGTGAATGTAACTCACTACTACGTCGTCATTAAGCGTGTGAGTATTAAAATAAAAGCGTTATTTCACACGGAAATTAGGTTTATTGTGAAATAGAAGGAAGCTTCGTTTTTCTAATCTTTCTAATATAACTAAATTCGTTTTGTTTCTAATCATTACCCCAATCGTGGACATCTTAATATAGAATCGTGTCGAGAGATTTAGTTATAACGTGCAGCAGTTTCTTTCATTTGATCTAATTAGGGCTGTTTGTTTTGGTATATATGTTTTAGTATGTCCTTTCTTGTGAATGTCTTAATTAACTTCAGTGTACATTAATTTTGAAGACCCTACACTATTTCTACAAAAATTAATAGGATCTACCGTGAGAATGATTATATATGTTACAGATAATCATACAGGTAGACGCACAGTGTATCTATAATTAGGACAAAATGTCGTTTAAATACATCAATAACCTGTATAGATTTACATGTATATGGTACATTTAGGAAATTTAATATCCATTTCGTTATGTCCCACATTCATTTGCTTTTCATTGTCTCATCGTCATCATCATCATCATCATCATCATCATCATCATCATCTTAAACGATAACAATAGGATAATGAAATGAAGCTCGGTAGAAAACTGTTGCTCGTTATCAAAAATAAATTCTAAAGATTATGTAGAGTGTTACGTCATTCGGAAAGAAAGAAAAGAAAGAATTCATTTACAAAAGTACAATACTTAATCACGTCTAAATTGGATAAGATAAACACCGGTAAAACACAGACTATTGATACTTAATTGCAATGTCATAACATATATCATAGGAGTCTTGTGAAGGGGATATAGACAACGTACCAGAAAAATCTCATTAACTGCCAACCAAGCAACTCAAATCAGATTTTAAACATTTTCTGTGAAAGTACACTTGCTTTATCATGTCTCTCTTGTATAATGTTAAAGGAAGTACAAAATCAGAATATATAAAGTGATAATTATCTATTGTTTATACCTGTCAAGGGAGATAACCCTAGTAAAAAGTTGTAAAAGTAGATCACCAGTCTTTCATTTTTATTTCGTGGCTGTGAAATCATTTAGCACGCGCCAAAAAATAGTCCTTTGATATATGATGGGATGATTAATCAGATAAACTGAAATTTCATAATGGGATTGTGATTATATTGTCTATCAATTTTAATACTGAATGTAAAAAAAATACGTGTAATTCGGAAAAGAATTTTGCTTATTTATTAAATGATGGATGAGAAAGTGTGACCGAAAACTAAACATATGTCAATATTCATCAATGAAAGGACGAGAATGGTCACCTAAAATTGTCGATTTTGTAAATAAATAAATAATGACTTTTGAGAAATGAAAAGCTTAAAATATGAATACATTAAAGCTGTTAGAAGTGTACTTAACTATAAGTAGTTAACGACACAGCATGGGAAATTCCGCACACTAGTATCTGTTTTTCTTCGTAGAAGCAGAGGAATGAAGGGGCGTAACTCTTCCTAACTTCATGCTTATGGAGCTCTCTTCGGCATAGAGGTAGGAAGAAGTTGACTAAAAGTCGGGAAATGTCTGAAGATGTCTCTCCTGGTGAATGTTTTTGTGTTTACTTTCATTTTATAGCATTATTGGTGTTGTGAACTTTTTCGGGAAGAGCTTTTGAAAATGAATTAATTCTCTGTTACAGAAAGAGATCACACTTGTGCCGGATGTTCGCTAAATATTGAGGAGGAATCTTATGTGGAGGCTTTGAGTTATGACTGGCATCCTCAATGTTTCAGGTAAGCCCCACCTGTACAACACTATTTAGCCGACGGCGACGAAACATATCACACACACAAACCTGTTCTTTCCTAATAGTCGCGTATCACAAAATTGACTTTCAATTTATTGTATATACGTACTGGTAAAGTAGATCTTACTCCGATCCTGCCCTAGTAAGATTCGGGGTCCCCCCACCCCCCAGGCTCGGTCCTCTTATTTTACAACATCAATGACATTGCTGATGATATGAATTTCACTATCAGACTATTTGTAGATGATGATATCATTTACATTGCCATAAATTCTCTGCAAGATGCCAACTCCCTGCAATTACATTTAGATTTCGATAGATTAGCACTTCGGGGAAAAAAACCGCTTCCCACACCAGGAAATGTCCAGTCCTACGGATCACCAATAACAAACATTCTATTTGTCTTGGGTAAATGTTTCATGGCCAACAATTAAAACATGTAAAAGAGTCAGTATTATCCTCAAGTCTGATTTGAAATGGGATACCCCTATAGATGATATCACAAAAAACACCTCTCTAGGCTTTCTAAGGCGATACTTGAAAATTTCATCTGCTAACATCAAAGAAAAAGCCTATCAGCTAGAATATGCCAGTGCAGTATGGGACTCTTACTTGAAAAAAGATATAGACAAGGTTGAGATGATCCAGTGGAGGGATCCTGTTTCGTTGTCAATCCCTATCGTAACACCTTCAGCGTAGGCAACACGGCTGAAATGGCGTAGCCTTGTAGATCAAGGATGGTAATATTTTACAAAGTATACAGATCAAAAATTGCCATTATGCTCAAACATCTCGGGCCAACTTCAAGACAAACCAAGCATTTTCATAAATTTTCTTTTTTTATTAGTCCCTTGATCGGTAGTTGTGCCCATTTGATGTTGGGTCTGATCAGAAAAACAAAATAGCTGACAGGTGGTGATCTTGGATTTCCGAAGTAAAGTTTGTTATTGTCATTTCTTGAGAGTACTCAATGGATCTCTCACCAATTTCATATGTAACTTTCCCTTTTCCCTAGTTATGTCCGTGTAATCATTAGTCAAAATGGCTGACGGGCGACCTCTTGGATTTTCACTTTAAATTTTGTTATTGCTTTTTGTAGAGGATAAGGGAGCAGGAAACAGTTAATTTGCATTTTTCCTGAAATTATTGGTCATGTTTGAGATATACAGGTATAGCATATTGGTTATGAAAAATACATCATTACATGTATATATATTTATAAACTACATAACAATTACATTAATAGTAGAGAGATGAAATTTGTGTGAAAAAAAATTTACTCTGATTTCTGACATTTGATTGTCATGGTTACCTACCGTAAAAATGCTAAAATACTGCTAATTCCAACCTCACACTACAACTTTCTAGGAGAAATTCGATTCTGAACACATATCTTAAAATCAAAAACACTGTCGTGGTAACAAAGTACTTACATTTCAGCAAATTCCAACTCGGAAATCCTTCATAACATGACCACATGTAAACACTATGAAAATTTCACTTCCTGTAAAGCTAGTTTTTGGTGCGTAGACACAGATTTTAGACTGCCCAAATAGCAATCTCCAACACAAAGTTAAAATATCATTCTGAAAAAAATGAAACCCCACATTGTCTACTTTAATATGACAAGACCAATTTTAGCAAGGATTTATTTTTTCAATTTTTATTAAAACCTTTATAATGGGGTAATCGAATGCACAAAGAATCACCCATGGCCACACAGAGAAACTGTGTACTGCTACCTTACTGCATAGTTTTTTCTCAAATTTCATACGTAGGTTCTCCTTGGTCTCTAGTTGAGTGTTTGATTTTGGGACTGATCAGAAAACAAAATGGCTTCCAGGCGACCATCTTGGATTTGACATTTAAAGATTATCATCACTATTTCTGCAATAGAATGTTGATTTTTTTATCATTAATAGCAAAAACAGAGAAGAGAAAAGACGGGAAAAAAAATCTAACTTCCCATGAGCAAATAAATAAATTCTACCAATTTTTTTACGCAAAGGTCTATAACAGAAGTAATCATTTAATTCAATGCAAGGGATCGAACCAGGGGCTGCTGACTTATGCTCAATCAATCATCCAAAGAGGAAATCCCTGAGTTGAATCAGTAGATGGTACACTCACTCAGATTCAGCAGGAATAAGATGTATCTAAAAAGTATGATTTTTTGCCCATTTTCAATACCTCCAAAAAATTGTTTTTTTAACTTTTCAGTATATATGTAGTAATTTGAAAATAGTTTCTGATAATGAAACTTTTGAACTTAACAAAGTGTAGGACTACTAGCAGTAGATGTATAATGGCTTTTTTGTGCCTGGAAAAAGATGTGGATGGTGTGAGATGTGAAAATGTTTGGTTTATACAAGAACTTATTACAGATATGACCAAAATCTTGAGAAGGATGTTACCAAAATATTTGTATCTCTGGATAGATTTGACTTTAAAAAGATATTACTTTAATTAGTTCACTAGTTAAACACGATAGGGGATGGTTAAATGTTACGATAATTGCAGGTCTGGAATATATTATTCATTTATGTGTTTATTTACAAAACTATTAACTTGGGACACAAGCTAAAAGTTACAACAGACTTTGGCCTTGTCTTGTAGTGTATACATTGGTATCTGTTTCCTGAATGATTCATTAGGAAATAGCAAGATTTCTAACACTGATTAGAAAATTACTCAGTCTTCTTCTATTTGGATAATAGTAGTAAATTCTTGTCATGTGGTGTTATGTTTAATGTTTATTGTTGCACATTATGTATCAGTTGTCACATTCTTAAATGATGACATTTACCTGTCCGGTGTTTGTTCACATCTCATTAAATGTTGATATTTGCCTGTCAGGTGTTTGTCACATCTCATTAAATGTTGATATTTGCCAGTCAGGTGTTTGTCACATTTCGTTAAATGTAAATATTTACCTTTCACATCTCGCTAAGTGTTAATACTTTCTGGTAAGGTGTTTGTCACATCTCATTAAATGTAAATATTTACCTTTCACATCGCGTTAAGTGTTAATACTTTCTGGTAAGGCGTTTGTCACATCTCATTAAATGTTGATATTTGCCCGTCAGGTATTTGTCACATCTCATTAAATGTAAATATTTAACTTTCACATCTCGTTAATACTTTCTGGTCAGGTTTTTGTCACATTTAATTAATTATTAATATTTATTGTATTATTGAGCTGTTATGTGTTTGTTACATCTTGTTAAATGTTGATAATGCTGATGGCAATCAGTATATACAGGTTTATCTTCAGATCACTAGATGAATTCAATGGCCTACCATTCTAGTGGTTATCAGGGTGTGGTTATATCTGTACACACATATATATATTTAGACCAGCTATCTTCTGGGTCACCACATTTACAGCAAACTTAGACTGTTCATGTTATTGTGCATGTTAGTTACACAGCTGTATTGTGCAGACTAGAATTTCTGTGTAGGGCCTACTGTAATTACTTTGCATATTGAATTCATTTTAGATAAATTTTGTGTTCAATACTGTAAGTCTAATATAGTTAAACTGTTTTAAACAAGATTTTACCTTTTTACAACTAGTGCAGCTGAAATATATTGGTTACTAATAAAGGAAATGATAAGAATATTGAGTTTTTTCAGTGGATTCCACATGTAATCTGACCATGGTTTTAAGTTAGTTTTGGGACAATGATATACTTCAGTTTTTATCATGGTTTTTGATTTACATTGGAGCCCTGCTAAATATTGTTTAGTTGAGCCCCAGTCAGACATTTTAATTGGTACTCTGTCCTATCAGTGTGATGGATAATGAAGAGAAAAAAATTAGTGAATAGAAAATTGAAGTGTTTTTTTTTACAAAAATGTATTCATAAATAGGAAGATCATCTGATGTTAGGTGTCAACTTTAGGTCTTTCTGGGATCTCTTAGTGACTTACACCATCCTTTATAAGGCAATGAAGATTTCACTCTGAAAACATCTATACCTACATTCTATAGAATAAATAAACTTGTAATTTGCCAATTTATATTCTATTTTGAATCTATCTTGTCAGAATTCTGTGTGGTACAATGGTTGTTTTGTTACATATTATGTTAACAAGAGCCTTTTGTTATTTTAGTATTTACGGTCAACACATCAAGGTCACCTCTATGACCAGTGACAGTTATGGGTGACCATTCATAGCTCAATCATTAGGGCAGTCAATACGTCAATAACAAATCTAGAAATTGATCTCTTTGTTGTTGTCGGTGATATACGTACCTGATGTCTGACGCACAGGTGATCCGTGTTTATTTAGGCTGTATGTTGTACTACCTTGGCTTTACGTTACTACGTGGTCTGTTCTACTGTTATAAGATAATGATTATCTTGTAGTGTTTACCATTGTAGTAAGATAATAACATCCTGTAACATGACTTTAGACTCGTGTTGATACAGATACATCATCACAATACTGATGCTGTTTAAGTTCAATTTTATTGAGTGTTTTATTAGGATAACCTAAAATACCAGTTCCTGGAAGTGTAGCAGCAGACCAGTATATTTAGTAAATGCTTTGAATAATTGAAATACCTCTGTATAAATGTGGATTTTGGACGTGGGTTGACACAGGCAGATTGAAATTTTGCGGTTGAGTAGTTTTGGGTTATTCATCCTTGTGTAGGTTATATTGCTCATTGATACTTTACACCATGAAGCAGAGGACAACACTGTGGTAAGTTTTTACTCGTCAAAATATCATTAACATACAGTTACCTGAGATTTTATATGAAGGGTCTTTAATATGATGAAAAAAACACACTTAAGTCACCAGCTTTATATAATAAGTCACCAGCTTTATATGATAAGTCACCAGCTATAGTCTTGTATCTCTGTCTAGCTCTTTGGGTTTGTTTTTTATATTATACAAAAATAAAAACTTTGAAAAAAATTGCTGGTATATTTGATTTGCATTATATAGTATAGGTAATAATGATAGACATACTTA